GAATTCCTTTAGTGCTGCTTACAGTTAAACCACATTCGTCAACGCAACCAGTGCGGTTATGCAGTGTATTTGAGCTAAGGTATGATTCTGTCTCTGGCAGCTGCTTCAAGTTTTGTTGAAACATTTTTGCATCGCATTCGCAGCTCGGTTTTTGGTATTCGAGCCAAATAGAAATATAACATACGCATATTTATAGATATGTATTTATTTGCCAGCTGTTGGCCAGCATTAACTTTTGGCCCAGTCCGTTGTCAGGGCCAGAGCAGGTGGGGAATGAGCTAAAGCCGAAACTTTTTGTCGAGCTTTGGCTCGGTCTCAGCAGCACGTTGTGGCTCATGTTTGACACGCACACTAATAGATGCAAATACGTAGGTTACACACGCTCACACACACATACACACACACACACGCAGACACTCAGACATGGTCACAACTTTATTGAGAACATGTGTTTGCGCATTTAGGGGCCAGACTTTGTCCAAGTCAATTTGATGAAGTGAGAAAAACAGAAGAAGAAGAAAAAGAGGAAGCAGAAGATGAGCAAGAAATGAACGAACAACAGTAGCAAGAGCAACAAAGTGGTGCTGGGGCTAAGTGTGGATACAGCTGCTCAGAGCAACAAAGCTGTGGCAAATCAAAGGCCTGACAGGCGTGGCAATCTGTTTTGTTGCTGTCAGGGCTTAAAGCGCTTAGCCAGGTAGCTGTAGCCCTACACAGCCCTCTTAGCCCCTTACCCCTTGACCAGCTCTGGGCTGCGCTACCCTTTCCACTGATTGCCTGGCAACTAAAGTTGTCTAAGCTCGAGCTTTGTGCATGTGCCTCTGCCCCAACTTTGTTATCAAAAGCTAAAAAAGAGGCAACACCAACAACAATAATAAGAAGAAGAAGAAGAATTACTTTTTATGTCTGACATTCATCAACATTTTGCATGCAAGCCACTTGGCTCGCTCTGCGCTTAAACCACTTGCGAATTATAAACGAAAGCTTGTTGCTGTCTATGTGAGCGTGCGCGTGTGTAGGTGTGGATTAAGCAGTCTTGAATTAACAAAGTAGCGCGAAAGTGTTTGTAGAAGTGCAGAGAATTCATTGTAGTCTCACAACTGTTTTTTTATTTAGCTGGCAAATTGAAAATGTGAGCAGTATTATTTCAGCTCTGTCCATAGGGTATCCACTTTCATATCTATGAAATCATATAAGACACCAAGTTAAATAAATGTAAGGTATCCATAAAGTGCAATAATGCTCTAAATATTTACATATTTCAGGAGAATTCATATGCCTTGGAGCTTAAATGACTGAAATTCGAAATCGATTTTATGGAAGCGGCAGATGTTATCGAAGATTGGCAGCATATTCAATCAGACAGGTGCGAAATGAAAGTATCTGGACAGAATATACAAAGTATTTTTGCTACACATAGACAGACGAACAAACAGATAGCTTTACTTGGCAAAGCTGTTGAGCTTGATCAAGAATATATAAGCAAATATTATTGATCTAGAATATATAGTCTTTGTGGAAGTTCATGATACCCTGGACTAAAATTCTCCACTCTATCTGCCTGAGGCCTAAAATTGTAATGTATTGATGATGATGAGAAATAAATGTTTCAAATTTATATATGTTCCTCAAGCATGAACATAGTATTGATGGTCATTACCCGACGCCATCCAGTGGGAGAGCATTGAGGGGTTTACGAACACACTTCAGACCTAAGCTCAAACTACACGCCATGGATAACCATGGCAATAGACAAAAATTTTTGTATAAGAATTTTACATAAAGACGTCGCTCCTCGAAGCGAAAGGCAGCTCAGCATAAAGTTATGTATATCAATTATCTGAGTAAAGCACAACGTGTTGTCTTTCAAGGAGAGCAAATCTTGCATATAGAGTATATATATATAAATAGATGATATATATATATGACACATAATATATATACGTATGTATCAACAAATCATGCTTAACTCATTTAAGTTCTTATAGAAAATTCTTTTCAAAGATATTTGATATTTGAAAATAAATGCTACAGCAAATGATTGAATTTAGATTAGTTGAGCACATTGCTCCCTGCTTTGCTCTTTGACAAGTTTTACATGTAATTCCAGCAGCCATTCAATGCAATGCAACCCAGATCAATAACTATTCAGGCAGCAAAATTAGATCAATGGCAAATTAGGGCTATAACCGCAATGTAATCCAACTGTACATTCGCATTAAAAAAAACAAAACAAAAATGAAATCAAAAAGGTTTTGACAGCTGAGAGCGAATATCAACGTTTCAGTTAGATTACACAGAAATTATTATTTGAATTTCGCTGCGAAATTAAACTGCAGTTGGCAGTGGCCAGTAGCCAGTTGCCTGTTGCCAGTTGGCTATATATCTAATTTGATTTAATTATAAGCATAATGCACACACTCACACACACACACTCTTCACGCACAGCTGATTTATGTATATATATTTACTTATGAGCTTAGCCTTTTTAAAGCATTTTTAAAGCTCTTTTTTTAGCGTGATAATTGACAGGCATTTTGAATGCTTCGCTGACTTTTGTGGCATGCTGTGTCCGCCCCACTCTACTCACCGCTCCCCAGAATCGGTTGCATACATTATATACAACCAATCATTGCAGATTCGTTTTTGTAATAGTTAATTACCTTTATCTACTATCTATGCGCGATGTCTGATTGCGAACTTTTTAAAAAGTTCTAAAAATAATATATCTTCTGCTCTATCTATATCTATTAGTATATCTAAGCTGAATTTGAAAGGCTTATATATTCCAAAGGATTCTTCTTTTAGAGATTGGCAGCCTATTTAACAGCTGCTAGTTGCCTTTTGTTGAGTGTGCCTTGGCGTTCATAATGATGAAGTCGAATGAAGCAGTATTGTGAAATGAGATTAATCAAGCAGCCTTTACTATCCACTATTTGGTACGCTCTATGGGCTGATGGAATCATTCATTGGTTTATTTATCTTTAATTGTGATTATTTATTTATCATTATATATTATTATTTATCATAATTGTGAAGATGGTAAAAATTGGTTTACGCAGATTGCGCCCTGTATGCACCAGCCATGCCAACCACATAGCCAAAATTCTATTTAAATATTGTCATAAATCATTCTATCCAATAAAGTATGTTTTATTAATATTTAAAATATATTTTACTGTTTTCTTTTAACTTAAACTTAAGTAACTCCAAAAAAAACACCGAATGCAGAGAAAGAAACAGAAGTGAAAGTGACTCTGGCATCATCCATTAAAAATTATTATGTGTACCAAGAAATAAAAGATCCTATGACGCATATAGACTATCTATAAGATATACTAAATACTATAACTACGATTCTGCTCGCCATGGAATTGTTGCTTATGTCCAACTGCAATTACGTTACGTTTGTTTACATTATTATTGAAAAATGAAATATATTAAATTTGATTAAGATATAAAATAAACACTTGACTCGAAATAATTATTATTAATTTTCATTCGATGCCTGTTTATGTATATGAAAAAATAATATCAATTGCAGAGAACAAATATGAAACAAGTGTCAAATGGTTGACAGCAGTCGATATTTATATAAATATAGATATATGTATGTATGTGTGTATATATAAGCATATACATATATATATTATTTGAAGTGCTTGGTTATTAGTTTGAATACAAATTGAGAATTTATACTATTTTATATGTCAGCAAATTCAATTCTAAATATCTCTATTTCAATCTCTCTCTCTCTCTCCCTCTCTCTCTCTTTCTCTCTGTCTCTCCCTTTTGCACATATGTGCAATGGAAATTGAATCAAATAGGTTGAAATGCATTTTGGTTATTGGATAACGAGACAAAAACCATCACGAAATTAAATTGCAATCGCAACCAACAGTCATAGAAATTGTTAATGAAAATGCCAAGCAAAACAATTTGTTTAATTGAATAAACATTTGCATACAAAGACACTCACTCGAAAGCCAATCATCAACCAACAACAACGAATGCATGTAATATATTTACCTGAAAGTACTGAAGGGCAGAAACTGACCAACGTTGAAAAATGTGATTGGAGACTGATTTAATTTAGTAATGCAAATCGAACTGGTTTCCATCTCTGATTTTAAGCTGTAGGAATACATAAGTAAAGATCCTTTTATAAACACGGAGAGCTAGCTCATCGAACTGTGTGCTGCAATTCGGTAACTAGAAGCGACAAAGATTTTAAATTGGAAACATAGACACTTCAAGTGCACATAGAACTTTGATGAAATCGATAAATATCGATAACTAACTTAGTAAGCTGCAGCCAAATTTTAGCTAAGAACAAGAAAAAACAATGCAGATGAAATTATATTTTCTTTTAATTTAGAGAAAATCGAAATCGATAAGTCTATGTGAAACTAAACTCGATATACTAAGTTGCATTCGATCAAAATTGTTATCGATTTGAAATGTCAGTAAGAACTTAGAAATTATAGCCCTAAAGTTAGAGCTAAACTCAGTATATTTTAAGCCCATTTCTCTTTCTTTTTTGCATATATAAAGCAACCAAAATAGTTGAAAATCCATAAATATCGAGAAAAAATCGATCAAAAGCAACATTTTCTTTGCTTAATGTGCCTTCTACTCAAATAGTATGCTTTGAAAGATCTGAAAGCTCAGCAGTTGTGCCTGTAAATCTAGAATATTCTTAGACAAATAGATCGACAAATAGATAATAGATATTATATAGCAATATATACTTATCAACTTCGTGGCTCAGAATAGAGCTGTTGGAAACACATTGCTTTCGGTTGTGAACTACTTCAAGAGCGCAAAAACCAAAATCAAATCCAAGCAAACAAAATAAATGATTTCACGTCTCGTTTGCAAATTTTGCGTGAAAATGTTCGCAGTGAAATTGTTTGGCTAAAATGATAGAAAGGAAAAGCGTGTGTGTGCGTGTGTGCGTACTTAAGCCGAGTGTGAAACAAACAAGAAATTTCACTTACCCATTCGCCACGACCAATTAACACACAAAAATTGTTGCGTTTTGCAGCGCAAAAATGTTGCGGCGTCAAACGCGGCGAATGCGTGATGTCAATTGTTGTTCAATGCTGTTTGCCAGCTGCTGTTGTTGTTGTTGTGTTGTTGTGTTGCTGCTGCTGCTACGGTTGCTGCCGATGCGAGTAAAATGCTGTTTAATTTGGTTTTGTTTTCGAGTTTCGTTTTCGAGTTTTGTTGACACAAATAAAGTCATTTCACATGCGATTCATATTTGCCAGCTAACATCTGCTTCTCTCCCTCTCTCTCTCTCTCTCTCCGTGTTACCCTCTCCCACTTTCTGTATCTTTATTTGTTGTTATTTTTTTGGGTAGTGCCACCCTTCGTTCACTTTGTTCTCTCTAAAATTGTTTGGGAATGGAGAATCAAATTAAAATTAGCGCCGAAATATATATAAAACAAAATTTGCCCTCCATGCAAAATGGGGCCTTAGAGGTAAACAAAAAACAATTGAAAATGATATGCAATCAGATTCTGAGAGCATGAGCAGCTAGACACCCTGTAGCCTGTACCCAGTCATACAGATTGCGCAAGCAAAAACAAATATTACAGGGTATTTCAATAGATTATTAGAGTGCATGCATTTTGCACCACTTTCTCATGGCCTTTATCATGAGTGCCGATGACGCTAATTACTCATAACCTCCACATTGTACAGAGTATCTACTACAATTTATATATCTATCTATCATATGCATATCTATAAACAAATGTCTGCCACTCTCAAGCCTCCATTGCACACTTATAAGTGTTTACAGGGTATAGCATTGACAACAACAAAAAAGTAGAAATGAGCATAATATCAAAAAAAAAAGCAACGAAAATGCCAATCGCAAATGTTGCGGCACATTTTCAGTTTTTTATCCTCCTGCACACACACGCACACACTCATTTAGAGAGCTCTTGCCTGCGGGACACGCAGCGCTTTGTTGTTGCTGCCCTTGCTGCTGTTGTTGTTGTTGGCCTTAGTTGTGAAATGCTCGCAGGATGCGCATTATGAAAATTTTAATCAAATGAAATGACAATAAGATTTTCAATGAAACGAAGTGCGCTAAACAGAAAGAGAACAAGGAGACAAACGACATGTAATGAAATTTTCTTAACAACAAAAGCTAAGGTATGAGAACTGCAAAGAAAGGCGCGAACAAAAGGTAAAGCTAAAGCAATTTTCAGCAAAAGAAACGTGATTTCATTTTATGCGCAATCAGGTTTTATATATTCAAAACATGAGTAGAGCTCATTTAAACTGTGATTTTTAGTAACTGGGAATAGGCATCTAGGACTTAGAGTAGAACAAAGCCAGTTCCTTTATAGATGCTGTCTACTTACATAGATAAACGAGTGTTGTGGCAGTCTTGCTGCCATATCTAGCAGCACTTACACGGCTCTCCGCTTACAGGGTATAAGCGTAATTATAAAGCCTGTCACAGTCAAGCCTCGGGCAGTGAAAGCCGCAAACAAACAGTGCAACACAGTGCAGTCAGTCTTTCTTAATTTCTCTCTTTTTTGATAAGAAAGACAAAAACTAGTTTTAATTGCTGCGCTTATGATTCGCAAACGGTTCAAGCGCACAATTTTAGAAGGAAATCGAGGTAAAATTGCTTAAAGAAACCAGAAAACAATGAGCGAACAAAACAGTCTAAAAAATGAGCAGGACAGCGAAGTACGGAGAATCCTAGAAAGGAAAGAGCGAAAGGCAGCATGCAGGCAAAGAGCGAGGCAGCGGGAGAGAGCGAGACTATGCAGAAAGAGCTCGAAAACTTAGTTTAGAAGAAACGAAAAGTTAAGTCAAGCAAATCTAGAATAACTTTTTTGTTATTGTTTAATGAGACAGACGGTTTAGATAAATCTTTGAAGTAATTGAAAACTAAGCTAAAAATTATTCATATTTACCTAAAATTGTAGAAATGTTTTTTATTTTAAATTTCCGTATTATAAATACACAAATACACAAAATATAAGATATAATAAAGAACTCTCAACAGAAATAGAATATCATATCATTTTATCATTTAAATATATATCATATATATATATCATATCATATCATTTCACGAAATAAAGCTCAAAACATGTAAATAAAATAAATATAAAAAAAAAAACAGTCAAAAAAACTTTTAATTCGCAAATGCCAAAAATCCTTTGAGTGATAACCCAAAAGCAAATCTAAACACAAAAAAAACATTGCTGTTTTTGTTTTCCATTTCCGTTTCCATTTCTATTAAAAAGTTTTAAGTTTTTCTTTTATTTTTGCCCAAAATAAAGAAAAACACAAAATCCTTTTTGTAAAACTTTTTCCGTTGCGCTTTAATTGCTTAATTTGTATTAAGTTTTTTTTTTGTTTTTTTGATGTTTCAAAATCTGAACTTTGCCTTTGTCTAAATCTACTCGCCCTGCCTAATCTATTTAGTTAATTAGCAAATGCTTAAATAATGCGGAAAACACTTTCATAGTAATAACAAAATATGCTGTTTTCTTCTTTAGTTATTAAAGTTGCAAACACACGCACACACACACACACGCACAACAAACAAACAAACAAACATGCAGCACGTGGCACATGAAAAACGCGCGCGAAAAGCACTTGAAAAACACTTGAAAAAAAAGTTTATTTATACATGTACACACATATGTGTGTGTGTGTGTGTTTGTATAAAAAACATACGCGACGCTTCACAGTGACTGCGACCGTACACGTGTAAACAGTGACTGCGCTTATATGAACTAAGACTGTGCTACTACTGTTCTACCACTGTTCTACTGCTGCTGCCAGAGACAACGTGTTCACACGCTGAGCGCTCGCTTGCTACTGAAGTCGACAGCGCTGCCTGGACCTGATAATGCCGTCGATGCGACGCCAGCAGCGCGAAGCCGGCAGCAGCAGCAGCAGCAGCCGAAGCCGATGGAAATCGTTGCGCCTCGTGCAGACACTGGTTTGACCACTTTTCTCCACTCCGTGTGGTGAAAACTAGCGCCCAAATTATGGACTTGCATTTGGCCACTGTTTAACAGTTGGACAACATACACAAGACCCTCGCCCTCTCCTCCCCTCTAAACTGACAAATTCCCCTCCTCTAATGTCTCCTCAAGCTGGAAGCGCCTCAAACTAAACAAACTTCCTCCCACCTCCCCACCTGAAGCACTTTGGCGCCGACTGCAACTGTCGCAGGGCTGCGCTTAGATGCTTAGCTTTATCTGAATGCGTGTGCATGACGTGAGTCTTACTTTCAGCTGCCTAAGGTACCAATAACAAATGTGTACCTTAGAGAATGGTGTACCCAAGACAAAAGTGTACCTTTATCATGCATTTCCTCTTTATTGAGCTAGATTTTTCCGTAAGATTTAGCTTATGCATATTTTATGTCATAAATATTTTATTAAGAGGCATTACTTTGCTTGTGGTCTGACGATAAAAGCGAATTAATACCTTTCTACTCATAAAATGTACACTAATCTTTGTTCTAAGCCAATGCAATCTATTTTATATTTGTTATTAGCTCTCAAGCTAATTCTCAAGTCAAACATTTTATCTTATCAAAAGATTTTAAAAGTAAAAATCTTTAAAGGTCCATCGAATCAAAAACATTTCAAATCATGTTTATCTTTTCAATCTACTGATTTCTTTGGGATGCCCAAATATCCTGATTCCTTTTTAAGTCCCATAGATTTGTGAACCAAAAAAAAAACGATTCCCCTTCATTTTTTAGCACGCGAAATACCTCAGTAAAACTATTTTTAATGCAACAAAATAAAGCCGCTTATTTCGGTGTTCTCGTGTCCTTGTGTCGCGCGCCCTATCCCGATTCGCCCCGTCTCGCATTCAAAGAGACAGCCTTAGCCGTAACCCAAACGAAATTCCCGGACAAAAGCCACACGAGACGCGGACGCTATCAAAACACATAGAATAAAATTAGGCAAAGATAAGAGCAGCGTACACCAGACAGCGGACAGCCGACAGCGGACAGAAGACAGGCAAAAGGACACAACTACCAGGACCCAAATCCAACTTCAACTCCACCTCCAACTCCCACTCCAACTCCAACTCCGAGTCCAACATCAACTTCAACGGCGACACTAGCTGCGACTCTGACTGCATGTTAAAGGCCAGACAAATTGTTGCCCTAACTTTGGGCATGGAGACTTGTTGAAGCAGTTCAAACATGAGATACATATATATATATATATATATATATATATATATATATATATATATATATATATATATATATATATATATATATATATATAAATATATATATATATGTATATATATATATATATATATATATTTGATATTTGATTTTTAAATTTTTCTCATTACTAGCCTAAAAACAGTTAGCCTAACGCTGTTATCAGTCAACTTCAAATGATGATCTGTTAACATAAAGCTGTGAACCTAAAGATGTTAGCTTGGCGCTGTTAGCGCAAGGCTGTTAACCTAGAGACTGTTAACACAGAGGCTATTAACCTAGGGGCTATTAGTGTAGCTGCTCTAAGCCCGGGAGCTGTTAGCCAGGGGCTGTTAGCACAGAGCCGGTAAATCTAGTGGTTGTTAACTACACGTTAGTTAACGACAACGTCAGTTAACGCATCAAGTTGTGCCTACTTCAATTTCTTATGTCAAATGAATGTCAAAGCAGTGCTATAAATGTTATGCTGCATACTCATCACATTGGATTATTGAAGATTAAGACGAAAGATTAACAGAGTTAAGTTGATTATTTAACATAAGCTTTACATATGTGACATACAATTATGTTAGCTCTGAACTATTCGCTGTTCTCTGTTCTACGTGCATCTCTGTGGCAATACTTCAATTCCATTTGATGTCTTTTCACAGTTTTTTCTCAAATTTCCTTTAACATTTCACCCGCAAATCTTTGACGAACGTAAACTGTTTTTTTTTTTAAATCCCATTCGTGACTCTACTTCTGGATTTAATGGTGTTAGTGGCTGCGTTTTTTCCTGTGTCTCTCTCTCTGTAAGCTTTTGCGTGTCTGTTTTTCTTTTGGGTTCGTACTTTAGATTAGAGTTAATCAGCTTAGCATGTCACTTTGACTATTAAAAACGACGTGTCGCCAAAGGGTTTTGTTCGACGCGGCTATTGGTGGCTGGCAAACAACACCAGTACTCACACACACACACACACACACACAGCAAAGTTGACTCATGTGAATGTTAATTATAGTCCAGCATTTGGGTTGACATATTGTCAGGGAACGACAAAGCTTTAGTATTATTACGTTTTTCCTATTAATGTGAGTCAGCAAAATCTGTTTTGAAAAAATGAGAGAGAGAGAGAGAGAGAGAGATGAAAGGAGGGAGAGAGAGCGGGAGAGATAGCTGACAAAGCAAGTTAATGATTCGATTCGCTAAAATTCCCATTATTAGACAGCCCACTTTAATTAGCAAAAACAAATATTGAAAAAAAATGGACTTTAAATTTTAATTGTAAATCATACATCAAATGTTCATATTAAATAAATATTTAAATTGCATAATGTAAGAGTGCAAATTATGCATTTTAATATCGCTTTAATCAATATTATTTAATTAATAATTCCAAAATAATTTGATATGCAACCATAATCTGGATGTTAAGCCCTTTTACGCAGTTAATTAACATTTATTAACTAAGTGCTAAATAAATTACAAAGTTGTTCACTTTTATTAAATTTCAAAATATAATTCATTAGAGATTTAATTTGCTCGGTTTCCTGTTTGATTGAATGATTGACAGACTGAGCGACTCTTAGCCACTAGAGCCAAAAAGTAGTACTAATCTATTTCTAAGCTATTGAGTATGATCTCTCACAGTCTGTCAATATTGATTGACTGATTGATTGATTGACAGCTTCATAGAGTCTCTCGCAGGCTAGCGAGCAGTAGCAACTCGCAGCTCGCATCTATTGATAAATTCATTTAATAATGTTCTTGGGATATTGCTAGAGATAACCTGATTGACTGATTGATTGATCACATGATTGACTGAGGAAGTGATACTATTTCTTAACAAACTCCAATTATAGTTTGCACTTTTCAATCACAATTATATTTTGAATTTAAGGAGACTGGCTGATTGATTGATTGACAGTTGGGCTGACTGACCGATTGATTGACTGACATAACTAAGTGCAAGCCATAAGAGCTGAGAAGTCAATTGATTGTCTTTACATTGATTCCTGTATAACTCAATTATTGATTGACTGATTGATTGAATGATTGATTTAGAAACACTTTAATTGACTGCTAGATTGAGTGAGTGATATGCCTGTTCCTAGCTCAACTCAATCATGGCTTTAAGGCAGACGACATCACCCACTAATTAGTCTAGAAAACGGCCCGCTTCCTGACTAGTTGGACAGCTCAACTAGCCATTCGAGGCCAACTTTGTATGTGGCCGATGTTGCTGTTGGGCTATTTGACTGCTTTGGCGTCGTTGTCTTTGCTCAATCGATGCTGGAACGCGCTCTCGCTGTCAAGATCTGTCTACGACTTGTGGGTAAGAGCATAGAAAGTGAGCTGAGCAGCGCAGATGGACAGGCCGGCAGCAGTTGAGCCAGTTGCTCCAGAAAATGTGCATTGGTGAACAATTTCACCAAACGCCACTTGACTTTCCATGTTGCCACCGAGCAAGACACCTTCCCTTCCCCCGTCGGTCGTCAAACGAGCTGGATGTGTCCAAAAGTGACTTTGACTTTGGCAAATGAATGCCAAAGCAAACAGGATTTTCAAGTTGTTTGGGAAAGTAACAGTGACGCGGCCAGCCAACGACAACAGCTGTTGCAACAACAACTGGCAGCAGCAACAACAACAACAACAACAACAACAATGGAACAAACATTGATTGCCTTTTGGTATTAGTTTCAATTTATTTCACTTTGAGTGTGATGGATGGCAAAAGGCGAACGTGGCATGCCACACCAGCAGTGCCAGCAGCAACAACTACAATAGGGCCATCAATTCACAGGCTTTACTGTACGCTCCTCCGTATCGTTTTTTATTGCACACTTTTAATGCCAAAACAATTGTTGCGCCAAATAAATTGAACACCAAATTCAATTGCAGTGGCGAAATTCTTGGGCTGCAACCCAAACACAGCTGCCAAGCTCCCATCTCTCTGTGTTAGTGTGTCTGCGTGTTGGTGGGCGTGGCATTGGTGGAATTTGGATGTGCATTTGATTTGCAGATTCCAGCTGGAAGCCTTGACAAATGCCACATGGCGCATTTAATTGCTCGCAGAGCTTTCAGTATTTAGTTTTTAGTTTTCTAAATGATCCATCAAATTGGCGTCGCGCGCTTCGTTTTCTAATTGAGTTGCTGCCACGCTTTGTTGCAGCCACCATTTGTGGCGCGCAGCAGCTGAACTGCATTCACATCTCTTTCGAACTTAATCCTGCTTTATTTCTGTGACATTCAACTCGACATCCACATCTAACAGCTAATCGACCCAACTAAGCTTCACTCGAACTCGAAGTTGATTTTCGATATTTCTTCTATGCTTAAGATTTACATCTAAATATTTTTTATTTCGATTTAAATTCCTTTCTCCTTCTTTCTCCCACTCTCTTTTCACTTCATTTACTTGTGTGCATTAAATCCTTAATAACCCTCTTTAGAAGCACATAGTAAGAGACAGAGAGAAAGAGAAAGACTTAGAATGAGATAGAATGAGGCAGAGTCCTTTACTCAAAAATTTAGAAAGAGAGAGAGAGAGAGATAGGGAGAAGGACAGAGTAAGTATTACCAGAGAGACAAAGTCCCTTACTCTATTTCTCTTTCTCATTTCC